TATCAGGAGGGGCCAGACCCTAGAGAAAGACATCAGACTTGGTAAAGTAAAGGGTAAGCAAAAAAAGAAGATCCACAGTGAGATGAATTGACAGTGGCTATAGCTCGTGCACAGGGAGAAATGGGCTTATTGAAGAATGCGCTTTATGACACCTGACAACAACGTCTTTCATAGTTAATTTTTAAAGTGCTGATAAGTAAGTCATATGCAAGTTGATCATGCAACACCCATGTTTTTTAATAAAACTGCCTTTAATAAAAAAGGCAGCAGGATATTTGCTTTACCTGAAATATTAAATGCCTTGTTGAAATTGTCTTTGACACCATCATTTTAGATGAAAATGCCTTAGGTCAGAGATTGGAATATTGACTATTAGGGTCAATAATTGCTGCTATGAAAATATTTGCATCATTGTGAGTAGTATTTTGGGGATCTAGCTGATAGGTCAGTCTGATGCCACCAATCCCACTTAATCTCATTTTTGAAAAAGGAATCCGGCTAATTTTATAGAACCCTTTGAAGTGCTCACATTAACCACCACACATAAAAACTTCAAGGCACACACATTTTGGAAAATAAATCTTTAAATAATTTAATAGCGAGAAAATAAAAATGTTGTAAAATTAAAATACATTCGATGGTGCCTTTTGTTGCTAGTAAGTATATGTTACTTGAATTGGAAATACAGGGGCAAACTTGCCCTTTGTAAGGTTCTAGGTGAAACACTTTTATGTGGAATGCAAAAATATTGGAGTGGGAGATGTGTTCAAATAAGAGAGTCATAAACGTGACTCTCTCTCAGACATTCTCTGTAAAACAAAAACCCCAGGACAGTAAGGACTGCATCTGAAGGGATACTTAGTCAGTAGTTAATGAATGGATTTATAAATATGGAAGTACTCCCTGCTGTATTTCACCCCATACCTATTTATGCAAACGCAGAGATTTGCATTACAGACAGTGCAAGGTGCTTTATGGACAAGAGGAGCAAAAGGGGGGAGTCCCAAGCCTGGTTTCCAGCTAGTGAGTATTGGTACAGTTTTGCTTGATGCATATTTAAGTAGCACCAGTCATGAAATACTTTTTATTTTATAATACAATAAAAAATAGTGCTTTGCCTGTTATTGTCATCATTAAGGTACCGTTATGAACCTTATCTCCTGTTAACTGTTTTACTTCTTGTTGCTACACTTCTTTCATAATAGACCTTGAAGTCATCCTTGATGCTTTGCTCTCCACCATCCCCCACAGCCAATCAATGATCCTCACCATTGGGTACCAACCTATTTTTCCAGCTTCAGCCCTGTTGCATTTTATCACCAGACCAGCCCCCTGAGAGTTTCGTCAATATGCTCAGCAGTGACTCCTGCACGTCACCCTTGCTCATCCTGATCCTTTAGTTTGGACTACCTTTCTCCCAGTTTCTAACATATCGACGCTCATGTTTACCTGGAGATTGCATTGACACATGTAAAACCTACATAATATATATTTTAATTAAATTAATTTGAGCTAAATAATTTCTGCCTCCCCCTTTCCCTGTAATTGATGTTATTGGAAAGCTGGTACTGGAAAGTATCCATAATGTTACCATGTCCTTTCCTTAAATTAATTTTAATTGGTCAAGTGTTATCTAATTATCCATTAATGGTGCCCATTTGTGTCACTGCACACCTTTGTACAGTATAGGATTCTGCGCATTTCTCCAAAATGTCCCCATTCGCTGTTTCTAAGCCACCTGCTTAGAAGCAATTTATCTGATTTATTCAGCAAATAATTGTTGATGATTTACTGTATACAAAGTTCTGTGTTGCGCCTTGTATTTACTTTCTTAAACTGGCCATGGTATCCAGTGTTAAAGTAAAGTTGAATTATTTTGGAAAACTTTATCAAGCCAATATCAATCACTATTAATTTTTTGCATTATTTTTTCCCATAGCAAGCATTATTGAAAGCATCAATAATCAATACTTCAGAGTGAAAATGCTGGAAAATTTAGAACAGTGAACCCAGCACCTTGTTAAACTTTTTCTAACAGTTCAGATTGCTTCAATCAGGGTTAATCCAGTGTCTTAGTAGTGAAACATTTTTATTTCTTATTAGCTGGAAATACATAGTCTTGGGCTGTCCCCACCAGAGATTTTGGGATTAAAGAATTTTGGACATTTAGGCAGTGATGAGAAAGGTGTCACCTTTTTGATTAAAAACAATTGTAAAAGTAGCTTACAGAGATGTAATGAGGTTCATAATGATCTGAAATTTGGAATAGTCGGGAAGAATTAAGAGTGTGAAGAATATTGAGATTAGATCTACTTTTCATTCATACACTCAAAAACCAGCTATTTAGCAAGTATGACAGAGAAGACTGGTTGAATTCAATATCATTAAGACACAGTGCATGATCTCAGGGAACCTGTTGGTGGTTGGAGAGAACGCTGAAGCTGTGCACTGACGTAGTTCGCTCTTCCCCATCAGAGCGAAGCGAGTGAGAAGTAGAAATCACTCTTACAGATGAGACAATGATCTACTTTGCATTGTTAGTGCGCTTAATGTTACCAGCATTTTTACTATGTTCCCAGTGCCATGCTGGATAACAATATATATATATATATATATATATATATATATATATATTATTTAGAACTTAAAAGAAGACACTACAAGTACTCCTCTTCTACGCATTTTATGGATAAGCCAATCAAAGCTCAAGCTGCTAGAGAAGTGTTCAGGCTTGCAGTTACTGGATGGGTTTGCCAGCTTTTTTGACTCAAAGGCACAGCCTCGGCATAATAACGCACGGCGATTTTCTAGTGTCATGGCTTAGCAAGGGTACGATCTTAGGGAATCACAGGGTTCAATGCTTCATCTAATTCTTCAGATCCTAAATCATCACAATTTAGACCAAATCTGAGCAAGTGACAATGAAAGATACAGAGATATTAGGATATTTTAAAAATAATTTTTATCTGAAGAAAGTTTGGTATTTGATAAGGTTGTTAGGATGTGCGCATTCACCAAATCAAACCCAATGCCCTCGAGTCAAATCTGACACTCAAAGTCCCAGTAGAACACAGTAGAGCAGGGGGTCCTCAAACTACGGCCCACGGGCCACATGCGGCCCTCTGAGGACATTTATCCAGCCCGACAGGTGTTTTTGCCACCGTTGTCTGTCCTGCTTAGCAGCCGACTCATGCAGTGTGCATAGGAAATTGTTCATAGTTTTTTTTTAAACTATAGTCTGGCCCTCCAACGGTCTGAGGGACAGTGAACTGGCCCCCTGTTTAAAACGTTTGAGGACCCCTGCAGTAGAGCTTCCCCTTTGTGTTTCTAGGCTGTAAATCTCTAAGGGAGCAGAAGGCCTCCTTTTTCTCCCAAGGATCTGACAGGTAGATTGGAACTTCTGACCTTGTGCTTAGTAACCCAACATGTAACCCATATTATGCCACCAAGACTCCTCTCTAGGATGTGTGAACGTACAGCAGGCATCCTAAAGGCCAAGCGAATGCTTAATTTAGGTGCTATACTTATAGGCACTCCAAATCTTATTTTTCCAACCTTATACTTTCTGACAAGCTCTAGATTTTGACCTGAATATTTTACCTGGTCTGCATTTTCGCACCTTTATATCATGTATAACTACTCCCCTGTTTGGGTTCGACAAGAAGTAGCTTAAGCATTTCCTGGGAGGGGCTTAGGGACCATGGGACCTGCAGCTGCATTGGCTAACAAGCGCGCTCTTTTTAATTACACTCTATTCTATTTTAAGGAGGCCTGGTTGCTTAGTGGGTTAAGTGTCGGACTGTTACCTACAAGGTATCAGTTCAAATCCATCAGCCTTTCTGAGGGAGAAAGATGATGTCTATCCTCTCCGCTAGGGTTGTTATGAGTCAAAAACAACTCCATGGCAGTGGGTGTAGTGGGCCGTTTGGGCTGTTCGAGTTTTCCTCGGCCTATGTTACAGGGTTGATGAATGCCTGCTTTCCCAGCACCTTGCCCCCTCTTAATAATCAACTTTCTGAAACAGCCGCTGAACTGCCAAGCTCAGGTGTGTATACGTGCTTACATACTTGTCTCACACCCATTCACTATAACATTGGATTGTCTAGGTACTAGATCATTCGTCAAAATGTGCTCTGTAGATCTTGGCTTTAGAATACCTAAATTCTGTGTCTTATTTCCTCTAGATACCAAATATCTACATATCAAATCCATTGTTTTGTCAGGAGGTGAATTTATGGTTTGAGCTCTGTAGGGGAACAACTTTATGTAGGTGGACAATTCTTTAAAAGTTGCTTGGAAAACAAGGTGTTTCAATACTACAAAGTGGAATTTTCAGAAAAGATCACTTGATTCTCTGTCGCTTGATCATTTATAAGAAACTATGGTAAAACTCAGTTATAAGTGTTCCAAGAAAATAAGAGGGGATTTGGTAAACCACTATCATATGCCTATTAACAGTATTAAATGTATATGCAAACTGAAGCTCAAAATTAAACAAAATTACCCACAAACACAAAGCCAGTAATTATGATTTAAACTGAGGAATTTTGACTCAATCAGACTGAGTAATACAAGGGGGTTACACGATGTTCCTGGGGGGAAAAATCCCATTATATTTGCATACCGTTTTCCCCTGACATTGTTGAAGCCCCTGCATCTGTTGTATTTTTATGCTCTCTAGTCATGGTACCCAGGACAGTTTTAATAAAAAAGAAGATATGGTAGATGTAGGAATTTGGGGTTGATATTTGTTCTTTGCAGCATATCTGTATGTAATAATTAGTTCATTATTTGTTTGTGGTAGAATTTCCCACCGTGATATCTAAACACTCAGATAGTATATGGACTATAATATTCTAAGATAATTGCAATTTTTCTCTCCCATCACTGTAAGCCATTAGGTAAAGGAAAGAAACAGAAAGGCTATCATTTATATTGATTTAAGTACCTTTCTTATATACCTTTTTTACAGGATTGAGAGAGATCATTTCCACAAATCAAAAATGAAGTTCTCAATCACAAACCAGTGCATAATATTGTTCATCTTTCTCAATGTAAGTACAATAAAATTAGTCTAAGTTACACTACTCAGGAATGTTGAAATAGAAATGTTTTGTGTATGATTGAATAAGCACTTGCAAGGGTAAACAATGTTCTCCCAAAGCGTTGAAGCCATTGTGTTCTTATTACTGTCGTAACAAATCTGCCTTTTCATTGACACTAGTTTAGAGCAGTGCTGTGCTATCATTTCCACAGAATCTGAGTTATGTTTGCTTAAAAAAAATTCGTTTGAGACACCATCATATTATTTTGGAAATTAGCATTGAAAGCCAATACTCTAGAATGAAATTAATATTAGATTAGGCATAGATTTGAAGCATAGTGCTGACCTGCTATCTTTTAAACCATCAGAACCCCAACAATCTGGTCCTTCATTTTAAATATGTTATCCATCAAAAAGCTATGGAGATGTTTCAAGTCTTTACGTACCAATGGCATTCCTTCTCAGCGTTTTAAATTGTGTCTAACTTTATATAATTTTGTATTATTTTACTCCTAAAGGAATTTGCATGTAGGAGTATATTTATTTCTGTCAACTTTATCAGTCCACCCATTCCATAACCCTGAGAACTCATGAAAGAGAATAGAGAGTGATGATTTTATATAAATCAGCTGGAGACTCTTCATCTTTACTCTCTGTACCACATCAGAGTAACACTTGCCCATGAAAGTTAGCTGGGCAGTAAAGATCACGTGTATCTGATCCTAAACACCGACCCAAGGAGAGCTCGCCCATGTTTCCAGAATGTCCCTTGCTCACTCATGTGTGTGGATAAGCTTTCTGGCTTCACATTCATCAGGGGACAATACTAATGGTCTGTGAATCTTAATATAAATCTCGTTTTCAAGTTAAATTGTATACATTGATCCAATCTTTTGTGGATATTGGATGGTGAATCTTCTTGTTTTTAGTATATGAAACGGCCATATTATTTAAACTATGAACTATATCTTTAGAGAAATTGTGGTACATTTGCTACAGGTAATCAGGCATTTGGATGGATAGATAGAGATAGATAAATAGATAAAGTATCCCAATGTATATGTTATATAAGTAAGAAACGTATTGAGATAGTCACCTACCACTGGGAAAATTCTATCCTTAATGCTTAAACATGAACTAGACCGGAAGAATACTCCGATTGCTCTGACTCATCTAGCCACAGAAATTCCAATTTCTCATTCCTTCAGTATTGAAACAGTCTCTAGTTAACCAGGGTCTACAAAAAGGGTCACTGGAATCTCTTCAACACTAAGAAAGATAAGCTTGATGCTACCACCATCTACGTGAAGAATGGCCCGTCTTACTCACACGGATGTGCCACTTCACTGAGGTGAACACTGCACTAAGCCAAACAGCGCTTTGATTGAAAATGCAAGTACAAAGTTCTTCCACTTGGTACTCTCGTACATATTGTTTCTTCAAGGTCTCTATTAAATTCCAGCTAGTTCAGGATAATTTCTTAATTGGTTATTCAACCCATTTAATAACAGAATTATGAATGTTGATTTTAGAAAAAAAAGCCGAGTCTAAGCAAAATAGTCCCTAATGTCTAAAATATCCAGTATAAATGATTGGTAAGATTTATGTGTAACATCAGATACTATTTTCTGATTTGATTTGCCTTTAAAGAATATCAATCATATATTCCATTAGAAATTGGGAAAGGGCTAAGAAAACGTTTTAAAGGTTTAGTGTTACACTTCTTTTGTATTTTATTGGTCTACATTTGTATTAGTGTGTGTTTAAGGGCTCTGACTAGTTAGTTACCATGTAATCATCAAAGCAGTTCAAAATCACCAGGTGTTCCTTGGGAGAAAGTTGAGGCGTTACACTCCCCTAAAATTTAGTCTTGGGAGTCCACAGAGGCAGGACCATGTTCGATAGGGTTGCCATGAGTCAATGTGTTAAAGGGTAATTCTCATAGCAACTGAAGCGTCTAGAGACCAAGGCACAAGAGTTGACTCTAAAACAAATGTGAAGTCAAGGTGAGGGCCTCATGAGGATTACCTCTCTCTCTTTGATGGGACGATAGACATCTTAAAGACACCCATCTGTACAGATACAGACTGATAAAATACAAAAGAAGCTTAACATAAAAGTGTTTTAAAGTTTAATTAACCAATTCCTAATTTCTAATGGGATATATGACTGATTATATCTAACCTTCAGAATGTCTTGTGTCAGGAATGTTCATGTTATTGATCTTTCTGCTCGACTGTGAGCTTGGAGAAGGCAGGGCCTTACATGTATTATTCAGCACCTATTTTATCCTGAGCATCTAGTGCCGTTTCACACTCGTCAAGATCCATACATGTTTTCCGACGGATTGATCTCAAAAACAGAGAGGAAGGGGTCACCCAACCAAAAATAAAATGTTGTTTAGCCACATTGGTTAAAGATTTACAAAATTTTAGTCATCTTTGTGGGATCTGCAATGGCTCTTGTCACAATAATTCAAGAAGCCTTACCTTACAAATAACCCAACTATTTTAAGGGCAGCACTCACTAAATTCTCACTAGGAATCCATCAAGGTAGTAACCGTGATGTCATAAACATTATATATATATTACACTCTCTTCTCTTTGCAAGGTCTTGCTATTCAGGTGTGTTGCTGTCACTTCAAAACAAGTCCAAAATGGAGCTTACCTCGCTCCAGTAAGGTTCCCCATCTTTCGAGTCATATTCATATATATATATATGACTAAAAGATCTGGGATATTATTTGACTACGTCTTTTCTCCAGTCTTTATACTCAAGTATGCCCTCACAACTTTATGACTTGAGAAGGTGCTAAGAGTTTTCTTGTTCCATAGAGGGTGATCTAGCCCAATCCTTGAACTCCTTGGCTGGCCTCCTCAGCTCTAACTGGTGAACACCTGAAGCCTGTCAGAATGATTGTGCCTTAACTCTTCTTTCACAAGCTTCTCTGATGAAAACTGCAACAACAATCCCTTATTATCATATTTTAATAACATTAGCGAAAAAGCATTCAATCTCTCATGTCATAGGTACTTTGTATCTGCTTATCTTCACAACATCCAGTGAGGATACATTTTATGATTACTATCCCCATGCTACAAATGAAAACACTTTGATTTCTGGCTTGCTCAAGTAACAAAAAATGTTTTAACATTTTTGTGTGGCTTTCAGAGTCTTGCACGACCTGATCTTCCCTGGCTCCATTAATTATGTCCTCAGACATAGTCTCCTCAAGTCGAAACGGATTTCTTTCTGTTTCCTGCATGTATTTCCCAGCTCTGGATGCGTGTGCGTTCTCGCCCTTCCATACAGAAGTCTCCCTCTCCTTTCTTGTGTCCAAACACCCCGTACGCTCACAGCCCAGCTGCAGTCGGATCTGGTGTCTACAACCGTCCTTGACTCTCCTTCCCGGTGTTCGCTCTCCACTTTGAATTTGAATTTTGTGTGTGTGCTACAGTTTAGCTTTGAATGACATGCTGTTTCATAAGATATGGAGGCCCAATCTGTATAATAACAGACATTTATACATTATGGCTTCACCAAGAATAGCCTGGGGTACAACATAATAAGGATAAATTATGTATGAGAGGCTGTAGGAGACATAGACGAGTACCTAACATTACATATGCCACTAATATGCTTGATAAAACATCCATAACATAAGCAGAATAATGTCAAATCAAGATGATTCCTACATTTTCACAGAGACAGCAAACTGTATCAAAGTCTTCAGAAGAAGAGTCAGCTCAGTTAGAAAGTTTTAGGGCTTCTTCAATGAAAATCTCTAAGACAGAAGAGGAATATTAAGAGCCACAGATTCAAACACCATTAACAACAGAAGTTACAACCACAAAAGAAAGTGAAACCTCTTTAAACTATCTTAAAATGACCAAATATAGGACCGTAATCTTTCAAGCACATAAACTTTGATAAGTAAAGACTTTTGATGGTCATGGGGTTAATTGACTATAAAAACAATATAATTTGGTATCTAAAATACAAATCCATGAAAAAAATATTTAAGATTTATGTCGATGCTCAGTTGAATATGAGTTAACCTGGTATAGGTCATATGCTGAAAAAATAAATTTAAAGAGATTAAGGCCAATTATAGAAAAAGAGATATTGTTGTTCTTTTTGATGGAATATATGGAGTAAATTTCTGGCAGTGTGAAAGCACAAATAAAAATTAGTGGAAATAATCCAATAAAAGCTTATTTATTTCACTAATATCCCTATTTTTAATATCATGATTCATGATACTTACGAGTCCCCAAAATTTTAAGTTGATATAATTGTAGTATTTTTTTTGAAAATCAGGTTATTTGCTTTGTTTACTTCCAAACTTTATAGTGATAATAAAATTAAAATAACTCTAGATGATAAAGAGGTGCATAGCTGCATAGGATCTTTCTTTGCATTTTCAGTGATGCCTGAAAACCAATACAAATATAAAGTTTATAGATGAAACATAAAAGCATTCTTTAATTATAAGCAAAAATATTGTAACTCCAGACTATGGATACTTGTTGCTTGTAGAAAAAAAAACCTTTTCAAACTTTTTTACTATCTTTCATTTAATGCTCTCCTATCTCTTCTCTCTCTATGTAACAATTTTTTGTTTTATGCAGCACCCGACACCAATTCTTCCTTCCAATGACACCTATCCCGTAGCCATGGATGCTAAGCCAACTCCGTACGCTGCTGGACGGCAGAAAATGTCGGAGGCACAGTACCAGTGCTATGACCGAATGAAACATCAGCCCCCCTACAAAGGGGAGGGTAAGAGAAGGGTACATGTGGACATGTGTCTCAAACATCACCACAGACTCATTTTATCCCAGTGGGTAAATACACACGTGTTGAGTGGCTCTAATTTAGTTTGATGTGTCATCGGTCTTCGCAGTGGACTTCCTAGTGTGCTGTGTTCAGTTCACTCAGCAGACAGGCCTCTTTCTTTACTCAAATTCACCCAACTGCTCTTGGCCTAAATGCCTGTTCTCATGACAAAGTTAATACAGTAAATACCCACACCTCGCAAGTAAAATGATACTGGTCTAAATGAGGCCAAAAGAAAATGAGAAAATAGGGGGCAGAGAATTTGCCCCAAGTGGGAGCTGTTCAAACCTTTTCTATTGGTTGGCAAGTTCATACTCTTTCCTCTCCCCTTCTATGCCCACTTTCCAAGGGAAAGCCTTATGCTGATTGCTGATAATGGGACCCACCGGTGTATGTGTGTTGGGGGTGGGGATGGGGGTGGGGGGGAGGGCAGGGGTTAGCTATCCTACAGGAACTGCCAGACTCACCAACCTGAATCCAATGTCCTGGCTTCATATTTTAAGGAAGGAAGGAATTCCAGGAGTTAAAAACTAATAAGCACAACTGAAAATCCCTTTGATTGAGAACCAATTTATATCTCATAGTCATGTTCTCACAATTAAATAAGAAAGGGAAACACATTCCTCTCCTGGTCAATCTAGGGTTCAACCACACCTAGAGTTGCCCTGTTTATTGCAGTTAAAGCTGCATGGCTTCAATACTGACTTCTTCCTAATGACCAGGTCCATATTGCAACCGCACCTGGGACGGATGGATGTGCTGGGATGACACCCCCGCTGGAGCTGTGGCATACCAGTTCTGTCCTGACTATTTTCCAGACTTTGATCCAGCAGGTAGAATATGTGTTGTCATTTTATATTTTGCTATGAAGCTTTTAGCATTCTCATAAGTATGTGCAACGTTATATGTGAACTGTAACTACTTAATCCTAGTCTGTAGTACTTAGCCGATGGGTCCTAAAAGGGGTTGAAATATTTCTCAAATATTAAACACTGTCTTAATTTTTTAAAGTCACATTGTGGTCCGTTATGCACACTGATTCTTAAATTCTAGTTTGTAAGATGACGTTGTCTAGCTGTGAAAGGTTTTAGTCTTCCTTCCCCCATTTGTCTCGTCTCAACTCTGGTGACATGCAGACATTTGGTGCAGGGTTTATGTGCACTAAAGTGACATAACATGCACAGTGGAAATGTTCATAACCTTTTAAAGTATATAACAATCACTGTGTTCGGAAAATAAATCAGAAAACATGAATCCCAGGCCCTTTTCAGACTGCTCTTCCAAAAGCAAGTTTTGAAAATATACTTCGGTAAATAAAACTAATACTGTTTTAATAGGTCACACTCAACCCAGCTCTGTCCCATACAGCATGAGCAGTTAATAAATGGGCTGAGTAAATAAATGACACCAAATTAGCTTTAGTAATAAAAGTAACATTGGGATGCTCTCTATTGAACGTCACGTTACTCTTCAAAACATTTTGCTACATATTACTCCATTTTCTATGCATCCACTATTTGACCAAGACAACAAAACCAAACATGTTTCCTGAGGCCTCACCTACCCCGCCTCCATCCCTTTCCCACAGAGAGTGTTTAAGGGAAACCGAAGCTCAGTTTCGGCAAGCAGCCACAGCACTGGGGAGATGACGGCTGCAGGTGTGGTCAAGAGCCAAGTTTTCTTTCTCTTTTGCTAAGCATCAGCCCCAACGTGGGCACCTTTGTTCAAATCTTCTTTAATTCCAAATTGTCATTCTTATCATGTCATGTTCTCACCTGTGCCTGCACCTTCATGCCAAGTCTCACATCTTGGAACAATTGTCACAAGAAAATGAGACTAACTCTCGAAAAAACCAAATACACTTGAATCAAATTCATTCAAACTCATAATAACTCTATGGGACCAGGCAGGACTGTCCCTTGTGGGTTTGCTAGACCAAACTCTTTATAGGGATAGAAAACCTCATCTTCTTCCAGCAATGAGACTTAAGACATTGTTTAACAATCATCTGGATCTGACCCCTGCCCTGTCTAATCACTAGATGTCAGTGGAAAAGTAATTTCTCTGAGCCTCAGTTTCTTCATATCTGAAATAGGAAGGCCAATACATCTCTCAGAGTTATTAGTAACCTTCAAGGAGATAACTCTACATAGAGTCTGGTCCATAGCAAAGGTGTACAATGTTGACCTGCCAACCCAACAGAGTCAGCAAATTACAGTAACTGGCTCCACAGAAATTACTATCTAAGAGATAATGAAGAAAGTAAATAGTGAAGACAATGTTATAAATGTGTGGGATGGAAAAAGATGACTCAAATGGAATTATTTGCAAAGCCGAAAAAAAAATTACTTCGTCCATCCCTTACTTTTGAACTTTTTTGTTCTATTGGATTTAACTAGGTGAAAATGCCCATACTTGGCCATTTTGCCCCGTGAAACCGCAGCTTCATGTCATCAATTTAATTTTTTTTAAATCTTGGGTATAAATGAAGAAAGGTATAGTCTTGTTCTTCTTGCTGAGTTCCCATCTATAACCAGAAGTTAATATATTTGCTGAAAATATGAGATAGAGTATTGATAGCCCCGTGGAGGCTGACGGACCTGGGTTTAAATCTGGCTTAAACACTATCTGGTCATTTTTCAAACTCAATCACCTCTCACACTTTCTGTGGTCTTCCTTGCAAAATGAAAATAGTAATGCTTTACTGAGGATGAAATAATGCTTCTGTGAGGATGAACTAAGACAATTCATATTAAAATATCTTATATATAATAAATGCCTCATGTTTGTCTCTATTGACATATTAAAATTTAAGTTTGATAGAATGATTTACCCTTTGGAGTGGCTTTCAGGCTTTAATTTGCTATTTTTATTCTTAGGATTTTATGACATTGGAATAACCTATGCTTCGTTAACAGAAAGGGTTACAAAATACTGTGATGAAAATGGAGATTGGTTCAAGCATCCTGACGACAACCAAACCTGGTCCAACTATTCCTTGTGCAATGCTTTCGTCCCTGAAAACATGAATGTAGGTTCTGTCTTCAATTTCACTAGTGGGTTAGAATGCCTTTCTTGGTGAGCTACAATGGATGTATGACTATCAGACGCCTGCTTAGAAGTCCCCAGGTTGTATGGAAGGAACATGTAAGTTCTGAGAACACCATGAAGTGACATTAGAGGACTGAATGTTTTTACCTCTTAGCCTCCGTGGCAAAGGGAGTTTCATTAAAATACAGAATCAGGCCCTTGAGGAAAGTGCTTAGTGCCCAGCAGAAAGCTGGTGACAAGATACCCCGTGGTGTCAGGATATTAGGCAATAACTAAAAACTTACCTATCTTGGTTATTATTTTCATGGGGTTTTTTTCCTCAAAGAAGAAGCCATGTGTTGATTTGCACTGATATTTAAAAGCAGTGTTTTCTCTGTGCTACATTCGCTTCTTTGTCACTGCGTTTTTTAACGGGTTTCGTTGTTGTTGACGTTGTTCCAGAATGCATACGTTCTCTATTACCTGGCGATTGTGGGCCACTCTCTGTCCATCATCACTTTGGTGATTTCTCTGGCGATTTTCATGTTTTTCAAGTAAGTATCCTTTTGACTTCCTTCTTTAAGGGACTGAAATAAGTGGTCAACTCTGCAGAGTTGTTTGTGTAGGGGGGGTGGGTCTCCTGCTAATCACAAGAGACCTGCAACATTGGAAAGCATGCAGCAGCCAGAAAAATAAATGAGTTAGAATATGCCTTTTAAGTCTAGCTTTGAGAAAACGGAATGGATCGATATAATTTTGTTCCTTCAGACGCCCTGTTTTAGAGATGTATTTAGTCATTACACTAATTTAGGTAGAAAACAAAAAGTTGTAAAACTTTTTGGAATAAGTTATACATTAATTGTTTTGACCATTACCTTCCCATAGGACTCACCAGCTAGCAATCTATGGGCTAAGAGGTGAAGACTTCGCCCCATAGATGAGAAAGGGAAGCATACTGCAGCATCCTCCTCTGCAAAATCTAACTCAAATGACGCCTGTTCTCAGGCTTGAGGTGTGCACCATTATACCTTCTAGGCAAACTTATGCATAAATACCCAGGAACAATTGGACATCTTGAAAAATCTGGTCATCCTTAGGTGATTGCTAAATAAATTTTCCAATAGTGTGAATTTAAATTAGAAAATCTTTATATATAATTTCATTGTAACAACCATAGTGAAAATAAAGTACCAATAAAATGCTCTTAATTTGACTTTGTAATATTTCTATAAATAGAGATTTAAAAGAAGCCACATGTACATTCATTATAGTTATATTCCAGTTCAGGAAATGCATTAGAAACTAAAATAAAATGGAAATTAGATGATACATGTATAAAGTGCCTGGATTAGTGCCTGACATAGACTAAGGGATATGTAATTTTTTTATTTCATTACTGTTAGTGCTATTGATATCCTTAGTGCTACAGTTATCATTCTTGAATAATCAACATCATTATTTTATGGGCAGCAATGGTGGTAGTCATGGTATTATACAAAAGATAAAGCGAAGTGCTATCATAGACCCAGGCTACAAATACAGTCACGGGGAAAGTCCCTTGCAAACATAGCCCTAGCCCAACTATCGTTCTTACCATTATTTTCTTGATCCTCTCATAATTTTCATCCATATCTTGGTCAAGATTCTCATATTGGATGAGCACTATAACTAACTGAATGGCAACTTGTTGTTGATGGAATAGCAAATAATAACATAACTAGACAATTAGCTTTTTCCGAAAAGGTTTAGCCGAAGAAAGATTGGTAAATAGGATAACAAGACATGAGGGATTAATTACTATAATCAGAGTAAGAATATTTTCAATTATGGTGATCAGAATTCAGCAGAGTAGGCATATAACATGATTAATCTTAGAATATCTGTTCATTTCTCAGAGCACTTCACCATGGTGAATAAATGCATCATTTTAGCTTTCATACAATTTTGATTAAAAAGTCTGTCACTCACAGTCTATTCTTTAACTTTTTATAATATAACCATACAAAATTGGAAAGGAATTGGCCTTTCGAATTGATATGCCATTAATAAATGTACTCAGAACTTTAAAGGGAAAAAGATGTTTCTTTTTTTTTTTTTGAAAAAGATGTTTCAAGTGGGCAAGTCTTAGTTCTTTATTTCTCCAGTCACTTAAATAAGTACCAGGTGTGATTGTCAAATCAGCTAAGAAGATAAAAATGTTATTCTAATAATTTTTTTCTATATTAAAGCATTGAAGATGGGTACTTAAAAGTTCAGCACATGGCAATTGAAATGAGCCCCCAAACCAAGTGATCTTAACAAACCCAAGGGAGACCGTGGGGAGCAATTCATAAGAAACACCTGATCTTGTCTGCTCTCTCTCAACTCCAAAAAGCACTAACTAGCAGCAATTTGAATCTAGGTAGGGACCTCCTTCTTTTTGTGTAATCTAAAGCAATGAGTGGGAGATCAAAGCTCAACTCTCAGCTCCACAAAACAAACCCAACAAGAGAAAACTGGAATATGAAAAGTGCAAACCCAAGATGCTAAGTGTCAGGTCCCAAAGAAGTCATGTCTGATATGTATGCATGTTCTCGAGCCAACCTTAAGACAAACCAAACTAGAAGTATCAAGTACACTATTTCCTTAAAATTAGGGTACATTGTGGTGATGACTGTATGACTCTTCTTAATGCAACTGAACTACTGAATTGTATGAGCTATGAATTATATGCCAATAATTTGTTGTTTTAGTTGGATATATTGTTGAGTGTTCATATTGTACCTTTTTTAGACAATTGTATTTTGGAAATATAAAGGTGATCATGAAAAATGGCAGTCCTGATGGCTCGGTGAATTTTCTTTTTTAATTAGCAACATTTTCCCAGAATATTTTTTCCAAACATTCAGCATCACATTTAGTTTTTTAACCGAACATTATGATTTATGCAGTTAAATGGAATCATCGGTGTGATGATTCCTCACCAAAAACGTAATCATAACCTTCTGGCTGAATGATATAGTCCCACGGTTGAGCTATTTCTGGGGGGAAATTGAATAATATTATAAAATTTGCCTGAAACCAAAATACAAAGTTACACCCAGCTCCACTATTCAGAGCCCAAGCTCCATTACGAATCACCCCAACTGAAATCTCTAAAAAGCCATCAAAGCTTCAGAAATGATTTTGATTGGTTCAATAAAAAGTACCCTGTCAGATGTCCCACTCGAACCAGTAGGCTGAGATCAGAAGGTCTGCAGAAAAAGGTAAGGTCACTGGGCACAGGGAAGGTGGCAGAATTGCCAGTACTGGTTAAAATATTTTTTACTCAAGAAGGGATCATAATGGCAGACCTCTAATCTTAATGCTATTTCATGTTTACCTTAAGCATAGGTAAGAAGCAAGGCATAAAACCGTAAAATGAATAAGCAGCATTCTCGTGTGCTGTTGGGGAATGAGTGTCTGTAAAGTTGTAACTAATGCAAAAGAACATTGAGCTTCTACGCCGTCCTCATCCGAAAGACGGGGTGGGGTCGCGGGGAAGGAATCGGTGACTTCCATCTTAGAGAAGACGATGATAAAGGTTTTAGCTGTACCCAAGTTGGCAGGGTTAACTACCATATAGGATGATGTACTCATTACTCCTGGGCAAATGATGTACTGTCCATTTCCACGGGTCTAAGTCAGGCTAAAGCCAATGATGAAGTCACGGACATGTACCTCACAGTAAGAATTATGAAGTGTTATATGATTATAATGAAGGTGGCAGGTCACAGGTTCCACAGTGTTACCTTCACCAGCTGTGATACTGAAGGGTTTATGCTCGCTCTTATAAATAAATGAATTTTTATATAAAACTGTTCAAATGATTACAATTGTAACCAGCCTTTAGTACTACACAGTAAAACCTGCAAAAGCCAGGACCTATGGAAGGTGGAAATGTTTCAGAACAGAAAACTCAAATATTTTCCACTAATAGTGTGCAATGGAAAAGTGGTAAAATTGCACCTTGTTGAGGCAGAACACTTGCAAGGCTGAAAATAAACCAGGCAGCAAGGCAGCACCATAGAGCTCTGGCTGTCAGAGATTTCACTGTTTCATAAAAACAATTAACAGAACAAAACAAGCACCCTGATTGCTTCAAGTCGATCCTGACACAGCGATCTTGTAGGACAAAGTAGATCTGCCCCATAGGGTCTCCAAGACTATAAATCTTTATGGAAGCAGACAGCTGCAGTGGCTAGTGGATCCAACCCACTGACCTTTCAGTTCATGGCTGAGTGCTTAATTGATGCACCACCAGGGATCCTGAAAACAATTACACTTGATGTATTTAACACACTTCTGTACTGACAAAGCAGCATATGTCGGTGTGTGTGTGTGTGTGTGTGTGTGTGTGTGTGTGTGTGTGTGTGTGCATGTGCATGAAGACTCTTCTTAAAACCCCATTGTGAGCACATGCCACCTCCCAGAGATGAAGGTCTGCTTTCTACCCTTGCTCAGTCTGGGGAATCTTAAAGTATCACTCATGAACTATTCATCAGCACTTAACACTTTCTGAAAAAGTGGAAAATATAACTATGATAATCAATATATCCTCTAAGACTTGCACTCATTACTTGACATTAACCCTTTTTACAGCAAGTTGGCAACTTGCTTTTCTTTCATTTTGAAATAGAGGAAAACATAGTAAACACAGAAAATGTGTACTTTTTTCCCCTAGAATTCCCTTTTCAAAAGTTCTGGAATTTTGACACTATTTTGAAGTGTCTTCTGGGGTGTGTGTGTGTGTGTGTGTGTGTGTGTGTACATGTGTGAAGTAGTTCTAATGAACCATTGTCATTAGACAATTTAGACATTTATTGCATATTGTAAGTGTTCATATAGTGACTGGCATTATGCTAAGTGTTTTATAACTTAATCAAATATAGTGCATTTAGGTTTCTTGTTCCTCTGGGATAATCATTCCAATTCTACTATAACCATGTTGCAGGATATTTCCAGTTACAGCAAAAAGTAAGATAGGATATTCAAAATAGTGTTCGTGTATGTGAGAATCTGTATAAAAACATTCATGAGAAAGGAATGAAACTTTCCAACAAATGGCTTAGTACCCTAAAGATTGGAAATGGCAGTGCCAAGAAGCAGCAGCCTTCGATAGGTCATCCAGGATCCAGACCTCAACGAAACCTCACCAGGTCTCTGCTAAGCCTGTTGAGAATTCTCTGCCTGTGTCTGAGCTCCACCATCAGGACACTGTGGAGAAAGGAACCACTAGTGGATGCTGTTGGAATCTGAGATCTAAGACATTAGAGAGACAGTAGAAAGACCAGCAGGGAACTGAGTACACCCTGTGTACAAGACGGGTCAAGGGGACAGGTTCAATACTTTGCCAGCACAGTCTGGGTGCCGACTTCATGCTCTGGTACCCCATCATGCCATGCAATTTCCGCATTACACCAATCAACTGTGGACTTCTCATTTGAACCGTATTTAAAAGCCGAATGACTTTGTAAGAATCCTCCTCTTAATTAATTTCATGGCATTTGTTATCCTTAAAAGTGAGCTTAACACTCACTCTTAACACTAACTCTCATAAGAAGTTACCCTGAGCACTGACCATTTTGAGCTGCCATGGTGGGAAACTGCTTTTAAAACGATTTTTAACAATCATGCAGAAAAATAGTGATGGATCTACGAGATGGGCGCAGCCTCACTTAACATCTTTGTGGCCTCTTGTCTGTCGCAAGAGGAGATAGTTAAAATAATTCCACTGCGGGATTTTCTGTAGCATCTCATCCCTGCTTAACTTGCTGGGATTTTGTTTGGTTTGTTTTCCTTTCCACCAGGAGCCTCAGCTGCCAACGGGTTACCCTGCACAAGAACATGTTTCTGACCTACATTCTGAATTCCATCATCATCATTGTCCACCTCATTGAAGTCGTGCCCAGTGGAGAGTTGGTGAAAAAGAACCCGGTAATGCACGCTTTTTGGGTGATTCTATTGTGAGGGATGCAGGGGCTTTAGACAGTGAACATGGCATGCTTCAGCAGAAGCAGCGGTTAATGTGTGTACTCCTATCTACTTTCACAGTTGAGGTTTTCTTTTATTTAGCAAGAGATATGATTGCTATGTAGTTCTTAGAACTGTTGCTTGCTAAAGATAGAGACTCATTTAGTGATATCCATAAACAAATGATAGGGCAAGTCATAATTTTTATGGTTAATCAATAGTGTATGAACATCTATGGTAAGTGTCCTTAACATGAATTATGAAAATAAGCAATATGAGGTACCATGGCAGTGCTTCCCAGTAGCCCCAGTGGGCTCCAGGTGTGCCAGGGCTAGCCAGTGACCTCATCAAGATGCCGCCATGCATCTGTCCCAGTAAAGTACACAATTGTCATGTTCTATGACTGCATGACATGAAATTGATTTAGACTCACATAGAGAATACGAGTACAGTATATATGTCTATTTAAAATAGATATTTCTATTTTCAAAAATCTAGAACTGTTTTCTAAATAGACCTGCTTACTTGATTATAATAATATATCTGTCCTTCTGACTATCTGTTACCGACCTGGCAGAAAACAATTGTCTGTTTGGCTAACACCGTGTTGTGACTATTTATTAGGGGAGATATGGACTTTCCAATAATCATTCTACAAGATTGGTGGATTCATATACTGCATGTTGGCACAAAAGCTGTGTATGAGGTTAGTATGAGTTGACGCCAACACCGTGGCACCTAGACACAGCAATCATGACCAGCAACAACCGCCTGAGGTCTGAGTGGACACGTGGGATGGACCGTGTAGGAAGTGCACGGCCAAGAGGCGGTGTTGTGGCAAGGACCACCCTAGTGAAACTCGGGTCTTCTCCCTAGGGCCACAACCAGCCTGTAGCGATTCCTGAAGGAGTGAATGTGGAGATAAATACCTCTTGGTCACTCTCCACTCATCCCCCAGCCTCTGCTGGTACTTCCATTGACTGAGCCCCACAGAAACCAAGAACAAGAGAGCCCGGTGCAGATATACAGAGAGGCCTCTTTACTTCCAGAAGGAAGTGTGCACCCTACTGAATCTCCCAGAAGCAGTCTGGCGCACACAAATGGCTCCTTTCAGCTTTGTTTCTCTACTTGAACTTCGCTCTGCAAGCACCTGTAGACAGTCCCATCTTGCAAAACCAGCATTTGGCAGCTCGGCCAACCCAACCACAAATGTGTTCGAAATCTGTCTGCAGCGTGCCTCCTGCTGTGTGCTGCAGCATGCCTCCTGCTGCGTGACCTTGGCGTGGCACCCAAAAGCAGCTTAACTTGGCTCTTGGGTGGATCCGTAATGTTAACAATTATCTCAGGCTTAATACATCCAGAGAGGCATTATCATTCATCTTTTAAAATCACAAGACATTGTTCTTGATGGTCTATAGGGTTTTCAAAAGTGTGACCTTTCAGAAGCAAATCACCAGGCCTCTTTACTTCCAAAATGCCTCTGGGTGGGTTCGAACTGCCAACCTTGGAGATAGTAGTACAATGCTTAACTATTTGTAACACCCAGTGATTGTTCTTTACCCTTAATAATCTAAACTTGGGATTCTTCAGACTTTGCTCTTAAATTATAGAAGCTAACTTCCCTCTTACCTCCAAGGTACAACCCTGGAGTCCTAAAGAAATATAAAGCTTTATTTTTAATTATCAAGGGCATATATTGAAAACGATAGCTCCCACAGTTGCTGTTAATCCCATCCCTGTGATGAACTCCCTAGGGGTCTGTACTTAGCTTTCCTAATAAGTCTTTATGGACTTGGATGTTGGACTTTATGGCAATGTTGTATGTTCACCATGCCATAGGATGCCGTCGGGACAGACATGTCTAAGCGCTGCCCATCACAATGTACAGGCTACCTCTTAGCTGCCCATAAGTCAGCCCAGTCCTGCCTCACAGATTCCCCTGCTGCTGAAGATCCTTGAATTCAAGTATGTAGGGCTGAGGGAGCTGGCTCTGCTACCAGGCAGCTGATTTCCCGGGAGAATCTGAGTGTGAGTTTGAGGGAGCCGCAGGAATTACTAGGACCTCTTCTTCTGGGGATAGAGGAGGGAGAGTAGCTCCCCCCACACAGTAGACTTTCTGCAAGTGGCCTGAGTGTGAAAAACAGGAACGAAGCTAATCTTCCTGCCATGACTAGCACTCCGTTCTCACAATCAATATAGTTGAACCTAACAGACTTGTTATTTTTAGCTATGAAAGAGCACACTTGCTAGGGGAAAAGAGTAGAACGCTTGAAAGGCTTTGTTCCATCAATCAAGTGTGTTTATTGAGCACGCAAAACTCAAATTATAGTCCTTGGGCTGAACTGAATTCCTGCCATTTTGGCAAATCTCTTTGTGACATTTTCTTCACAATCCCCAGGAATGTGTCAGTCCTCACATGCAAAAAGCTCCCTGTGCCTCACACCCAGACAGGGGAGGGTCAAGCAGAAGTTTACCTGTTTCAAAGTGAATTCGCTGATAAACAGAAGAGCAAAACTGTGGCTACCTTGTTCTATCTGTCTGAAAGAGAAGTTTCCTCCGAAGTTGGACAAAATGAGAATCAGTCACCAACGACAAGTTATCTCTGGTGGCAAGAAGGGACCCTAGTTATGGATTGGACTATTAACTGCAAGGTCGGCAGTTTGAACCCACCAGTGGCTCTGAGGGAGAAACAGGAGGCTTTCTGCTCCCGTGAAAATATAGTCTCAGAACCCCACAGAGGCAGTTCCGCATTGTTCCCAAGGGCCGCCAAACGTCGGACCTGACAGGATGGCAGGGAGAGATTTTTAGTGTGATGGCAAAAAGACCATGCCTGCCTTCACATGTCCAGATGTGTGTTTCTTCCATGAAAGTCTTGAGGCGTCGCTGGGTGGTGTTGAACTACTAAACAAAAGGAGGGCAGTTCCCTCAACCAGAGGAGCCTCGGAAGACAGGTCTTCCAGAAGGTCCCAGCCCAGAAGACCCACGGAGCAGCTCAAGTCCGCGCACCTGGGTCAGAATCAGCTCCGCAGCAACTAACAAGCGTGCAAGCTTCTCACCCCCCTGTTCCATCTGAGCAAGCTTGGAAATGGGTGCCTCTCACCAAAGACACGCCAACAGTACAGACTCAACCCAGACCCTCGAAACAGTAAGGGTTAATCCATTGTGTTCCATTGTGGCGCATATACTTCACTCTGTGGAAAGAAATGGAGTTGTTGTTTTGAGTAATTGTTCTATGCATTCCTCTCCTTGAGTCTTCATTTTCCAATGTGATTTTTATTACATCCGTGTTCTGCCTCTGCCTATACCATCAACGTAAACTGTTCTTCCTCCTCACGTGAAATTCGTCAGAGGAAGTGCAGGAAAGAACTCAGCTAGACGTGTTTCTACATTATTCTTCCCTGAAACTGCGCATTTGCTAGCTCCAAGAGAGGCATTGATGCCAACCTTTGCATTGCATATCACCTTGAATGATTATATTTTGCCACAAATGCATTCACAGATGCCAAATTTGTCGATTGTATTTCCCCTAAAAAATATTAGTAGACTACAGTCAAGACTATAAGATCAGGGATTAAAACAAAAGAATTATTCCTATTGTATATTTTAATATAAAAGGGAGAAGCCACAAGTAGTAGAGAAGGGTTAACTACTAATTCTAAGTCATGTTCTCCATCTCTAAATAGAGAAGATATTAAATAAAGGCTGAGGACCAGTGTCAACATACTATCAAATCACATGCCGAATCATGTTTGAAGGAGTTTCAAAAAGCTCACAAAATTAATAGACTTATCCCAAGAACCTTTGAATCCCCCTTGTATTTATAACTTTACTTTAAATGAATGATTTGAAGGATTGATTTACCTTGAAAATTTTACATGAAGTTCATTAGAAAACAGTAGCTTAAGGTTCATCTTGGGCAAGAAAAGTAGAGACAAGAAGAAAAAATCACAATGAAAAACATCAGAAGAAATTGTGGAGGCAGAGGGAAGTTATTGGATATTGTCAGTCTACAAATGTTTACTGAAATTACAAATATTTTGAAAAGCATGACGACAGTCCTAAGTTAAAGAAACACATATTCATCAGTACTTCATCTATACGTGATTCAGGCATTAGCTTCTTTTAAAATAATAAATGCATGATTTTTAAAGGCTCTCTCCCTCAAACAAATTAAAACCATGTTTATGGGTTGATTTTCTCACATTGACCCAATACATAGATCACTAAATCAGCAGTTAAAAGGTTAGAAGAATTTTCTTCCCACTGTCCAAAGAAATCTTTTAATAAGTTTTGCCTTAAAGAGAGAAGCTACATCACCCAAATATGGCCGTGCTACTTCATTAACAGTTTATTTTATTCCATTAAAAGCAAAAGGAAGCACAGTGTTCCCTGTCCTCAGTGGGCATCCCTGAGTTTCTGGTCTTTTTATCTTTCCCCATCAAAATCATCAAAATGTAGTCTCCTTCCTTGGAAATTTACGATTCGGCAGATACACTTTTGTACAACACAGATGAGCATCTTGGACCTTCACATTCTTCAAAAAAAAAGTTAAACTCAAAATAACTCATGGTATAAATAAGGGCTGAATAGAGCCTTAGTTAATTGAGTGGTGTGAAAATTTTTCATTGTGATACGTGTTACTTGAACATTTTATTTCCACAATAGGTAAATGCTTCATCTTCTGGTTCTGTCTGTTTGTCCTGATCTTCCTGAAGAGAGTGGGGAGGCAGAATTAAGAGCTTGGTTCCTGCTGCCTCTAAAGGAAGCTGGCGGTGTGCTAGTCTTTCTCTACAAAGAACTGTCATTTTTATCTGGGTCTGAAAGGGACAGTACATAGAGATTCATTTATGCTGGGAACCTAAGCATTCTGCACCTTCAAGGCCACAACAGTAGACTCACATTTCCCATAGCATCTTCAATTTGAAAAAAGTCAAATGAATCCTAAACTCTGAAGAGAAAAACAGGAAAGCAATTTCATCTAAATCTCAATTGTTCGGGACAACGGATCCACCAGGCTGTGTCAGCGCACCATCACAAAGATCAGCTTGGGGTGGACCCGAAGGACCAGAGCACTGGACAATGGTGGTGGACAGCCTTGGAGAGGGACTCCTCTTGCTCAGCCCAAGGACAGCCAGGTGGGAAGGAGGCATATAAATGTGAGAGAGAGGACAGGAATCGCAGATGTGTGCCCTGGGAGGTCAGTGGCAGACAAAATCAGATTAGGATCCTCTATTTCATTAGCTCATGAAGAAATTAGATTGGGAAAACGTAAGATGGGCTTGAGGGACAGTTTAGCGAACATAGTGCCAGGAGGTGGCAGTGGAATGAGGTATCCTACCTTAGTCATTGACGAGACTTCTCTTTGCTTACCTGTCAACTCCCAGGTATGGTTCTGGAATCCAGAGACTAGAGGACGGAAAAGTGTGGAGGAATTATTTCTTCCTTTTAAATTCTATCACTTGTACTTTGTCGGCTGCCAATGTGGATTTGGAAACTATTTTATTCCCCACATGCCTATAAACATCAGTCAATTTTCTGGTGACTCTCACTCGGTCTAGATGGGTGGCACCATGCCACCTACAATCAGTGCCGTACAGAAGGTGTCTGTGCAATGGATTACAGAGAGTCTTCGTCTCCAGCTTTGCGCCTGCGTGCCCGTTCTCTGAAAAGGCTTGCGTGACTTGAGGGCAGAGCAGCTCACATTTTTGTTTTCATTCTCGAAGACCTTCCCATGGAGCTGTTAGAGGTTTGGGGGGATTCTGGTGTGTTGCTAGAAAGCGGTGATCAATTTGATATCTGAATTGCTTCCAATAGTATATAGCATGAAATTCTAGATCTTCTATGTAGTTACAGACAGCTCTATAAATCTTTGGCAAGTTACTGACCCTTCTGGGCCTTACATCCTTCCTGAGTAAAATGGAGCTGATAATGGAGCTTTCGGATCCAGGGAATTAATGCGCCTAACTTCCACAAAACAAGGTGTGGCGTATCCAAACTCTCAACTGTCAACTATGGTCATTTATGTCATTGTTGCTAACATTGTCTGTTAGGCTTCCACGACTTGCCTGGTTCTAATTCTGGCACCTAGTTTTGTTTGTTGTCTTCTCTGTGTTCCACATAATAGGAGATGTGGAAACTCAGAGCATTGGTAAAACACAGCTTCAATGCAAAATGACTGGTTGTAAAAGCAGAATATATGTCGTAAGACATCTGTAGACTACAAATAACCAAAAGGTCTGAAAGCATAAAACTTATTGGCCATGGCTTAAGAATCCCCAGTGAACAGTGATAAAATGCACTGGCCTCACTGGAGAGCTGGTCTTTTTAATCTCCCACCACGTTTCCCATAGACTGTCTTTCCTCTCAGTCAGGATTGAGAGAATCCTGTATTTCCCTGCACCCTGGCTTTGTGTGCTGAACACTTTCAGAGGGCTTCCAGGGTCTCTTCCAGTGGGTTGATCTCGGATGGGGCCTGTGGCATGCCAATGCTATCTTTGTTTTTGTTTTTAACAAACCAGTCACGATTACAGGTCTAGTGATTAAAGCTCATTTTCTCTGAGACGTTATCAGGTATCAGCTCAGGATTGCATGACAGGCTTGCATGTAATTGAAAGTGTTGCACCTTTAAAATCCTCTGGAGAAAGGCTGCCATGTTTTTGCCCCAAATTATTGAATGCTCGCTTTCTGCCTGAGAGATGTTTTCCGTATCGTTCAGCTAGTGATAAAGACTGTACACGTTGACAGTTTTCCAGCTGATAGGAGGGCCTTCTCACCCCTCAGTTTAGCACCTACCCTGCCATCTTGACAAAAAGATGCGTGATTCCTCTCCTCGAAGTCTGATTACAGTGTGAACGAAAGTCAGGAGATGTCTCCTGGCACTGTGAGCCCACTGGAGGAGCAGCTGAGGCTCACCGGCATCCGAGTTCTCAGCTCTGGGAGACCAACAACTCATCAGAACAAGAGTCAGGGAATGAAGAGACTCACCTGTGCTCTCAGTCTGTTCAGGGTGGCCGGTGAACCAACAGCATCAGGGGACATCATGTGGGGACGTATTAGAAATGCAGGGTCTCAGGCCCCATATCAGACCCATGGAACCAGAATCACTACACGGGGGGCCCCAGGAATCTGTGTTTTTGCAAGTCCTTCCGGTGATTCCAATACACACTAAAATTTGAGAAGCACCGCTATGGACTCTTTTATTGTTTGCATTTGAACTGGATCATTTTGGAGGGATTTGTTTTAACATCACCGCTTTCAGGAACTCATGATCCTTACATAACCCATGACAATCCCCACTAGAATATGATGCCCCAGGTTACAGTAAAGGGCATTTTTAAGCTTGTGAAATGTGGGAAGGGAGAGAGAAGAAAAAGTAAGGTACACATCCTTGGCATTGCCCTGGATATCAAGCTCAACTCCCCAATTCCAGGGAGGCAGACCGAGAATTTGAATGTCCATCTCCTTTGCTCCATCCTTCCTTGTCACACAACAAAATTCATTTCTCTACACAGCATTGCTCATCCCAGCCCTCAACATTTCAGAGAAGACAATAGAGACGTAACTTCTATTCCCAAACAGTTTCCACAAAAATTATGTAAGCAGCACTGAGCTATGAGAGTCGAAAACCTAGACAGAGTGCTGCTAGCTGGTAAATGCAAGGGCTTATATCTCGTGGCTATTCGCTCTTTCATCCATATCCTCTCTTAGCTACTTATACATTGTAACAATAAGACACATAGGTCCAAGGGAGACCCCTGACCAACCTAAAACACCTCTCCAGAAATACACAGTTGTTGCTCCTCAAATAGTTGTTGACAGAAGTTGTCTTTAGGAAGGTAATCAAGAATTTCCCCCCAGGAAAATGAGGAGACCTTAAGTATTGAGAAATATTTTAAAATAAAAATATTTCAGGGGGAAAAAATCTACTGCTATCCAGACAATTCGGACAGCAGGGGGCGGGGGGGTGGGGGGGGGGTGCTGGGGGAGCGTTCCCCTGAGCCCATAGCTCTGTACAGAGCCACACCTCTCCCGGCAAGCACCGAAACCACTGCTCCACCCGGGCTTCTTTCTAGCTCGTCTAAAGCAAAGGAAATGTTGGCCTGAAAATACTGTGAGCCATAAACAGGAAACGTCTGGACTTATAGCCATAAGTTGGGGCCATAGGTTTCAGGTCTGCTGTGTATGTACTACCTGTAAAACAAATGTATGACACACAGGAAAGCCAAGCGCTTTGCTCCCCCTTTGGAATTTAGTGCAGTGGACCCAGTGACTTCTTTAACAGTAAAGAAATCATTAAGCACCTAATGAAGAAATTGATGTGAAGACTATAAACGTTTCTTTTGAAATGTTATAGCTTCTTTTCTTTGACAGTAAAGGTTCAGATGGAGAAGCAGTTCAATAGAGTTCCCATCATCCTCTCCAACCCCACCGGTGCAAACCCCAGTACAAATCGGAGCTCTTTAGAGTATTGACAAGCCAGGGTGTTACTTTGAGGACCAAGATGGCCTGACCTAAGCCATGGTATTTTCAATGGCCTCACACGCATGTGAAAGTTGGACGTTGAATACAGAAGACTGAAGAAGAATGCATGCATTTCAATGGTGGTGGAGAGGAAGATTCAAAGTCCCAGAACTAGTCGGTCTCGGGAGAATTATGGCCAGAGTGCTCCTTAGAGGCAAGGATGGCAAGACTTTGTCTCACATACTTTCAACCACTTGTCAAGAGGGAGCTGTACAAGGACATCAGACTTGGTAAAATAGAGGGCGGGGGAAAAAGAGGAAGGCCCTCAAAGATATGGATTGACACCGTGACTGTGAGAATCGACTCAAATTTAGGAATATCGTGACGGTGGTTCAGGACCTAAGGTCGCTATGGGTCCAATGGACTCACAGGCAGCGAACAACAACATTGTTTCAGGCTCTGCTGTCAGGAGACATGGTGGTTATGAGATGCATGTTCTTCCTTTGTTTTCTCAGACAGATTAAGTTTCCAGCAGGGTGTCGACCTGATTCAGTTATTGTTCTGGTACATGTGCATTTTAAATTCTGATCCAATCTGGTTTCACTTCATTAGCCATGACCAAACCAAGAAAGATACCTGTTAGGAGCCCTGGCCATGAGGAGGTTTCATCCACTGTCAAATGGAGACATAATGAAGGGAACCATTAATTAAACCAACCTGATAGGGTAGTGAAGATTAGCTTCCATTCATATGTAATGCACCTAGACAGTGCCTGCGCAATGTAAGCTTTACACACGTGTTCACCACCACCGTTGTTGAGATACTGAAAACATTTCTGAATGAGAAAGTGAACGCGAAATAAAGGCAAAAATTGCTGACTCGGTATTTGTTACTGGTGATGCAGACAAGTACTACTTTTGTTTCTGTACCAGTGGCCCGGGTGCTCCCGATCTGTGCCCCCGTCTTCCACTGATGAGCTCCATTTCCTTCTTCCAGATAAGCTGCAAGATTCTGCATTTCTTTCACCAATACATGATGGCCTGCAACTATTTCTGGATGCTCTGTGAAGGGATCTACCTGCACACCCTCATCGTGGTGTGTGTGTTCACAGAGGAGCAGCGCTTGAAGTGGTACTACCTTCTGGGCTGGGGTACGTGTGTCCTCCGGGTGAACGGCGAACCTCCTTGATCCGCATCTGTGTTTACAGTCTTATTTGAGTCTTGGTCTCAGGAATCAGTTGGGGCCCAGTTCTTCGGGGAAAGGATGGGGGACAGGGACCAGCACGAGTTTCACCTCAAGTGACTTGTGGTGAGCAGGCCAGTCCGCGCCAAAGTGTAACTCACTGTCCCCGGACTCCTTCCCAGACGGCTCGGGGAGGTCAGCTGCTTACCAGACACGCATGCTCCACAGAGAAAACACTGCTCCACTCTCTCAAAAAGTAGCTAATGGTAATAAGTAAAATACTTCTGCGCCACCCTGTACTTCTTCATTTTTTTCATGTATAAGAGAGAGTTTTATATGAAGGTTAAGTGTACATTAAGAAAACATCCCAACCCAGTGCTACTCAAGCCCCCAAATCCAACATTAACCCATCCACCCATATGTCCAACACCAATCCAAAAAGTCCTCCTCCATCTCACAAAACACACACAGTGATGCCAACTGCAGGAGGAAAGCCGAGCCAGTGAATGTGTAAGCATCTCAGCGCTGGCAGGGGTAGGTCCGTGTGGCTTCTCCTTTGGGATGTCTTGCAGGAAGTCAGCCTTGCCAGCTGAAGCAGAGAACTGGCTAAGGCAGCTGCACCCTGGTCCAACCATCACAAAGCAAGAGACCCGAGAACTAGAAAGGCAAGACTCACGGAGCCATTTATCCCACTGTTCTTCAATGAACCCCAAATGTGTGTATTGGCCAGGTTGGCCCAATAAACTAACTACCACATGACCCATTTATTTGCTGGAGAAACGTGCTTACCTGTCTGTGCCAGCATGGCCTCTTAAGACCCCGGGCCTTAGCACACTCCTCACCCAGCCAGCACTCCAGATACCCCTAAGGTGCTTTTGGCAACCCTGACCCTCAGGCCTTCCCCATGGTCCCTGCTTACTCTCTAGGACTATAATGTTACATCTGATTTCTTGTTTCCCATTGTACTTCTTAATTAACAGTCATTTACACCATTATCAGAACGAGTATCTACCCCTTAAAAATACAGCCCTAACTAAAGTCGAATATGAATGAGAGGAATTTGCATTCTCACAGAGTTCTAGAATGGAATCAATTTTTAATTGCCAGATCTAAATTAATATATTTCCCTATTTCTTCTCTCTCTCTCTCTCTCTATTTCACACACACACACACACACACACACACACACACACACATCAAAATTCCACCAAATTCCTAACCACTAAAAAACCGCAGCGCCCAATCTCAACTTTAAAGGAAAAAAATGAGAGACAATTATCATGTCATACTTTAAATTAATACCTTTCTTCTAGAACTTTGGTTAATCATCTTTTGATGGGGGTGGGCATAAAATACAACCAAAATTACTCTTGGAGAAAAATAATTTCATAGAAACTGTGAAGAATGTAATAGAGTATAGAAGAAATTTTAATTGGATAATATTCCACTCTCCTTTTGAAATTATTTTCACCCTAAAACAATTTGACAAAACAGAATGAGAGATTCTTACTCTTGCATGGCCTAGAACCGTGGTTCTTAACCTGTGGGTTGCGACCCCTTTGGGGGTCAAACGACACTTTTACATGGGGTTACCCGATTCATAACAGTAGCAAAATTACAGTTATAAAGTAGCAACAGAAATAATGTTATGGTTGGGGGAATCACCACAACCTGAGGAACTGTATAAAAGGGTCATGGCATTAGGAAGGCTGAGACCTACCAGCCTAGAATAAGGGGAAGAAATTACACTTTGAAAAGATTCTGGATAGTGTGGCAGCAGAAAACTTGACCCCCAAAAGCCATACCCTAAGTCCTAATTTCACGTCCAGATGATGTGTAACTCATTCACAAGTTTCAGCTGTGAATGGCATTACCTACTCTAGGGTCTGGGAGTGATCTCAAGGAACGGCTGAGGGCCACTGTGACTGTCACACCTTGAGTCAAAACATGTGTCTGCTGGTGAAATTTTCCCCACAGAAAGTGGGGGGGCGGGGGGAAACCCTGTCTTGTGGTAGTTACTTCGATCTGGGTCTTCACGGGACCACCTGTTGGAGATTTTCTCTCAATTTGAACTACCTTCCAATACTAAAGTTTATTTCTCAAAAAAATAAATAATAATCATTCCTTTTATAATCCTCTTCAAATGGACTCTTCGTGTTTCTCGTTCTCCCCTTGCCATAATCCAAAGGCAGGAAATTCATCCATGGATTTTATATTGACCAATGAGAAATTCCCTGGTTCTTGCTTACAACACACACACACACACACACACACACACACACACATGCACACACACAAGACTCCTCGGGAGGGAGGGTGATTTTCGGTGGGAGCTATGTGTTCTCATGGCTCCCCAGGCCTGGAAGGGAAAGAGGACTAAGAAAGGCAAGGACAACTACATAAGAAGAGTCAGTGTGTCCACACGTGAACTGAGAGCTCTGGCTGTTAGAAGACACAGGGTCTGTAGTGTTCACTATGCTGACTCAGAAACACAGTTTTCCTTCTACAAAATAACGAGGTGGGACTGGGATTTCCATAAGCCTCTTTTGCTAGCTCATACCAAACTAAGCATTTCAGAGCAAATCCAGAAAACGAGTTTGAGTTTCTGAAAGCAAGCTGGGAAATGCCATGTTGGATCTGGCTATAAATAAAATGCAATTATGTTTTATATAAATAATAAAATTCAAAATTATTTCAGACCAAACATTCAGGGAATGGCCCTATTGAGTGATATGCTTCATTGGTTTAGATGATAGGAGGAAATCTCAATATTTTGAGAAATTCTCTTTTTCATCTAATTCTGAGGAGAAAAAAAATACATAGATTTAATTCATTTTGAGATCATTTTTTCAACATGATGTGATCATAATCATAATAAAAACCCTATTTATACAATATCTATATCCAATAAAAATATGTTATTGTGCATGGGTACATCATAAAATCTTTTTTATATAATTACAAACTTACCCTTGATGACACAGACCTAAGGAAATGAAACTTGGCAAGATGCATTGCCAGGAACCCTCTCTCTTGTTCTGTTTGTAAATTCAAAGCCACTGTTTACTAACACTTCAGTTTCAGTAGGAAGTGGATACCAAGGGGGCTTTCTAAGGATGCTGCAGCCAGAACTCACGGAGGGTGACCGCTGCAAGGGTGCGTTGGCCAGCCTGCAGTGCTTCTTAAGAAAAGACAGCGTATAAGCAGACAGAAAAGAAAGAAGCCTATTATTGTAAACCCCAGCGAAGGCTTCCATAGCAGTCAGACTCTCCCTTACACTCGCTCAGGTCATTTTCTCCCAGGTGGCCCAGCTCCTCACCTTACGGGAGTCCCGTTCACGCGCAATGAAAGGCTTTCTGGACTCAGTTAACAGTCACCGTCATCATCGATCGTCCTGATTGCAAACATAACAATGGCCGTAATAGTCATCGTCAGAGAGATAATGTACTTACTCTTCTGGCTAATTCGTGAAAGGTTTTTAATTATCTGGATGCTCTGAGCTACATGCTCTGAAAGCACATCTGTTTAAATGAGAGCATTTCTACCTGGTTTGACTAAAGAAAAAATGTGCCAAAGCATCAGGGAAATATCTGGACGTTAAATTTGCCACTATTTTTCCAAGTGGAAGTGCTGTTCTCCCCCCACCTCTAGTTGTGCTTCTCTGTAACTCGTGGCCAAAAAAACAGGTGTGACTGGTACTGTTTTTTTTGTTTTTTGTTTTTCGTTTTTTAGGATTCCCGCTATTGCCAACTACGATCCATGCTATTACTCGGGCGATCTACTTCAATGACAAGTAAGCATCTTGGTGGTTTTCCGGTTAACATATTCCTCGGTAATATACATTGTATTGACACACCCCTTCTCTTTTGTTAGCTGCTGGCTGAGTGCCGAGACTCACCTGCTGTACATCATCCATGGCCCTGTCATGGCAGCCCTGGTGGTAAGAATTGCTTTTTAAACCCATTATGAGCGATATTACCGCATGGTTCAAATCTCGATGCATTTGGTTCTGTAAGGCATGTGCATGATAATTTTAAAATAAAGCTCATTTAATGATATTCTCTTACAAGGAGAACAAGTTGACTATAGAATCTTCAAAAGCTTCCTATTGTTTTAACAATGGGCATGGGGTTGGAGTAGTGAGACACCATGATCCGGCTTCTCTACATGTGAAAAGAACAGTGTGTTCTATTCTTTAAAGCGTCTCTAAATTCTACCAGGGAAAGGGAAAGGCCAAGGGGCTGTGGAAATAGTGAAAAGGTGTCACTGATAAAGAGGAGTGAGAGAGACCACAAAATTCATGTCATCCCTTGAACTTGTCCCCAGGCCCTGCCAAACAAAGTGAGGGTCCATGTTTTCATGACAACATGCAGCCTCATCATGACATAGCCACCACTGATCATACACTGGGAATGCTCCAGGCACTTAAATACATTACCACCATTTTAATAGTGACTCTACAGGGTAGCTATAGCAAGACATTTTACACATTCAGAAAACTAAAAGGCGACTACACTCTTCCAAAATAAAAAGTTGGGGTGGAGACAAGATGTCTGAATCTGAATCACAGCTTTTTATTTCTCCCCCTGGTCTGCTACATGTTGACCAACATCAGAGCCATTTAATTTAACACTTAGATATCACATGCTATGATCCTAAAAGGCAATGCCTTTTGTTCTTGTTGTCATTTTTCTGGTTGGAGTTAGAAAAATACAAATGGGAAAGTCAGTGAGAACCAGCACTGAGTTCCTGCACTGAGTGAACATCTGTGTCACTACTGGACCTCTCATCCACTAGAGGGAGAAATGTCGAATTTATCACCCCATTGGAAACAATTCCATCGTTTCTTGTAATATTAAGTATACATGTACCACTTGCCATTAGCAAGCAGTTCCACTCCTAGACTTTTTCAAAAGACACAATCACCTCTATCCCCACAAAAATTTGTACATAAAAATTCACAGCACCTTTGTTCAGTATAGTAAAAAACAAAAAGTGGAAATAATCTAAGTTTCCATCACCAGTAGAAACAAATTTTGGTGTATTATCCATACAGTGGGATTCTGCGTAGCAATAAGAATGAATCCAATGCTAATTTATACAACATAAATGGATCTCACACATACTGTGAGAAGCCAGCCACTCAAGGGCCTACAACAGTGGTTCTCAACCTGTGGGTGGCAACCCCTTTGGGGGTCAAACAACCCTTTCACAGGGGTTGCCCGATTCATAACAGTGGCACAATTACAGTTATGAAATAGCCATGAAAATAACTTTATGGTCAGGGGTCACCACATGAGAAACTATATGAAAGGGTCGCGGCATGAGAAAGGTTGAGGACCACTGATCTATACAATATACAACTTACTCCATTTCTAGGGTATTAGAAAACAACGGATGCCTGAAACGGGAGTAGAGAGAGGATGTGAAGTTAATTGACTGTAAGAGGGGAAAGAGAACTTTCTAGAGCAATTGAAATGTCCTTTCTTTTGTTTGGAGTAGTTGCTAAGCAAATTAATGTGTTTTTAAAAGCTTATTAGACATTTAAAAATTCACATTTTATTGAATGTAAACCATACCTCAATGAAACTGTCTTCTTTAAAAGAAAAATATTATAAAAAAAAAAAAAGAAAATCAGGTTAGTTGTCTCTACTACATAAACTTTACATATTAATGTTTCCATTCTTACTTTCACTTTCAGTTATGTAGTCCTGACCAACAGGGATTATTCTGATAACAGAAAAGCAAGAAGGCAGTATCTAAAAATGTCTTTTGTGACTTCCTTCTGTGAAACCCGGGAGAGTCAAAGATCCAGCCTTCCGTCTCTTTCATTGAGCCTCAGACAGTTGTACGGAACAACAACAAAAATGAACATTGCCTTCCAGTTGATATGTACATCCACACATAGCTTCTCCTCTTGGAAAAGAATTATCAACAGAGGTCTTTAGTGCCAGTTAGGCTTCCTGTCCTAGGAATGCTGAGTACATTTTCACACTCTTCACAGGGGGAGGGGGACTGCTCCCCACACTGAATAAGTAAGATGGAGCAAAGTATGCGTATTCAAGTAGGACTTAACTGGGGGATTTGCTCATAACATCGTCTCTTTCAGGTGAACTTCTTCTTTCTGCTCAACATCGTCCGCGTGCTGGTGACCAAGATGAGGGAGACCCATGAGCAGGAATCTCACATGTACCTGAAGGCTGTGCGGGCTACTCTGATTCTGGTGCCACTGCTGGGCATCCAGTTTGTGGTCTTTCCCTGGAGGCCATCCAACAAGATTCTTGGAAAGATCTATGACTACTTCATGCATGCTCTGATTCATTTCCAGGTGAGGCCCCCTGAGATTCTTACCTGTCTACCTGTTTAGCTAGTTGGTGCAGGAAGAACACGTTTCTGGAGTCTGTGATCAGCAGGTGTTCAGTGTTTGTGTTGATCCAGAAACAGTTCAGCACCTCTCTGTTTCTCAATTTGGGCTTGTCTATTCTTTGAATCTTAGAAGAAAATAAAGGTCTTTGGAGGCCACCTCTGTTAGGACAAATGCTTCCCCATTAATTCACCACATGGTACTGAGGACAGCCTTTAATCACACAATCCTGAGTGCTGTAGTTGTTTGGGGGTTTTTTTGTTCTGTTTTGCTTGGGTTTGGGTTTTCTTTACTGAGAAAAGTTTTGAAAGCAAATGTGATCATTACCAGTGATGAGTCTCCTAAGCTGGACGATTATAAATACAGTCTCCAGCGCTCTGAAAACATGAGAGAAAAGAAGCAGGTGTTTGTAATAAAGTATGGAATGTCTACTCTTTAGCCCCATGCTAGAAGTTCTACCCCAGTTCAAGCAGGCCCTTGTTTACAATCACTTCATTTTGCTGCCTTGTTCCCAAGTAGAGATGTCAGGACCTTCCAGGACCTGCCAGCTAAGCCACTTCTGCAATGTAAGGGTTAAACCCCAAGTGGGCAAGGATTCCTGACACCCTCACATGGCATGATAAAAATAATCACGTTATTGTTAGGCGGCTTCAAGTTGATTTCAACTTATAGCAAACTATATATGATCTCGATTCTTTAATTTGTTTTAAGTACATAACGTCTTTTCAAACCCACTAAAATCAGCCAACCCTGCTGTAAATCTCCACACTAAAGGGGGCACTCTATTAACCAGATTTACCAGAACTGTACCCTTAGCCAAACAATAAGAAAAATGCATTTCATATTGAATATTCTTGTCTCGTGGTATTGTCTTTGTACTTAATCATCCAACCTTGACTTGTTATTGTAGTTGATGACATTGATTACTTAGCATAATGCACATGAAATCATTTCAATTCTATTTTTCCTTTCTTTTTTTTTAGGGATTTTTCGTGGCCTCCATCTATTGCTTCTCAAACAATGAGGTAAGCACACATTGCACATAATAATGCCCCCTGTTTTCTGGCATGCCAGCACCCCACCGTTTCCCAAGGACCTCATACAGAGTTCATGTGATCTCACTTCTGTAGTTTACCACACAGGGCTTCGGGGTTCCCAAGATCATTTTCCCGACTCTTTCAAGTTGAATCTTATCTGTGGATGTGTGGTGCCGTCACATGTGCGTCCACGTGAGGCAGATACATTTCCATTTTCTGGAGATGCACCTTAAGCTGGCCGCACCCCCAGCAGCCAGAGGGGGAGCTATTCTGCCTCCTGTAGAAAGCCACATCATGCGCCTGCTTTCTCGGAATCCCTCTTCCTCACTAGGACAGAGTGTCTGCTTCACGCCCTTCTTTTGCAGTGGGATAGGGAAAGCATCGGACCACTTATTCAGCATTTGAAAAACTGGTCCCAGAAGCACTACCTAAAAAGGACTCAGTCACTCATCTGTCATTGGACTCCTTAGATCAGTGGAATCGAGAGATCCCGACGGCCACTGTCTTCCTGCAGTTTTCGTCAGCTGCCTCTTCATCCCACAGAGTCCTCCCTGGAGGCTCAGTTTGTCAAACAGATGAAAGTGGAGATTCTCTGTCCTCCAGAGTCCCTTCCAAGAGACTCCAAAGCTCCCGAGACCATAATTAGAAAACACATTCACTTGTCTGATGAGAGACTTGAGAAAGTCATGTGATTGGCCGATGTCACAGATACGGTCGCGGTTATAAGCAGGACTAGAACCCAGTTCTTCTGATGCTCAGTGAACTGACCCTTGCATTTCACTCTGTATGGTATGGCCATAATTTCTCCATAGACCTTTGGGATTGCCTTTTTCCTACACATAACTTTGGGCTTTTTACTTCAGTTTCTCATACTAATTATTTGATGCCAAGGCAAATCATATTTTGTTAAGAATTTTAGTTATCATTTTCATGTTAATTACTAAAAATGTTTTTCTCACTTTAACCAACTGGTTCTTTCATTTCTTTTCTATCCCTTAAGTGTGTAGTGTGTAATCACTATGTAATATGGAAGCATGTACTATACCAAATGGAATGGCACAGCCCTGTGGATTTTAGGCGTCTAGGCCTCAGCTATGGCAATGCCATAAATTCAATACGGGCAATGCCTTCCCACATGCAGGGAGTTATTTCAAGCATCCTCTGGGAGAGAGGTGACAGGAAATTGCTTTGCGGAAGATTAAATCTTACCACCATGGCATTCGTATAATGGTGAAATGGAAGTATTCCTTTTTACTTATTATCAGTATCTCATCGATCATTCCTCTTATGGAGCTAGAGCAGACAACAGGGCATTGGATAATGGAAGCAGGGAAGACATTTGGGAAAGAATTAATGTCATGACAATCACGAGACTACCATGAATGCAGACTCAGGTATCAACTATTTGCTAGCACTCTTCCCAGTGGGTAAACGTTGACTGCCCAAATATTTTAGGACAATTTCTAGGTATCTAAGAGACCTCAACAATTTATTGCAGTGATAGAGGTGCCCAATTTGTTCCCAAGAAGTAACAAGTTTGCCTTTTGATATGGTCTTTGAATAGACTGCATATTGTTCACAGAAACTGCCCTAAACCAGTAGAGATCAGAGAAAGGGGATTGTGAAAGCAAGATGAGATGAGCTATGGCACATAAACAAAATGTTATATTTTTACACGATCCATAAATTGGAATACTTATGTGTTACTTAGATCTACAGATTATTGTTAGTACTCTCAAAATGTATGTTAATCTTTAATGCATTGCATCCAAACTTTTGGAGGAGAGCCTGCCTTCCCTTCAGCAGTACATAACTGCTGTCGTGATTTGCCATTGAGTTGGTTTAACTTAGGGGGACCCCCGGGTGTTACATAGAAGGACGGTTCTAGACATAGAGCTCTCCTGGATATCATCTTCACCTGACCTTTCTTCCATGGTACACCTCAATGATTTAAACCACCAACCTTTAGGTTGGCAGTCAAGCAGGAATCATTGGCACCACCAAGGAACCTTAATACATCACATGGATACTTATCATGAGTTTAGCAAGAAAGGCAGCAGAAAAATAAGACTATTCAAATCCAACCCTGAAATTTTTAGTTAATTTTCTTTTTTTGACAAATATAGAAACTGAGGGCAAAATATACCAAGTGTGTAGCATTAGTTTAACAATAGACTTCTTGATATGATTGAACGATTGAATCGTATGATATGTGGGTTATGCCCTAATAAAACTCTTTAAAAAGAATATAATTACTTCTAATAGTTAGATTTTCCAACCATCATATGAGGGCCCTATTTTTTAAAACTAGCAATAAATTCATTGGTATAATCAAGGGGGAAAGTAGGTTAATTTTGTTAATTGCTTTTTTAATGAATGATGAATTTATTTAACTCAAAATTTTGTATGCAATGCTTAACCCATTGGCAACTCCTGACACTTATGATGCTTTCCGTAAACAACAAAAATGTCCCCATTTACTCAAACAGATGCATATTTTTGCCATCAGTGAAGCATTAGACTCAACCATAATCACCCTATTAAACTGTAATTATTGAAGTGTCTCTTACATTCTGCTAAGGGCTGATTTTTTATGTATGGTTTACCATGCAGATTGGCCTCTTCAAACTAAAGGAGAGATTGCAGTTTTGGAATACAGAGAAGGCTCTGAACCTTTCTATAATAATAATTTTAGAAACAATAAAACAGACTTCAAGCCCTATGACCCTATGATTCCTGGAGACTTTGTTAATACACAGAGATTTTCTACTTGGGCTTGTTTTTGGAAGGGCAGAAGAGAGAGAAACAAAACCTTTAGGGTTTTTCCCACCCTGGGCACTTATGCAAACCCACTTTAGACTTTCTACCCGTGGACACTGGATACTTTCAAATACCTCTGTGAGTTTTGCTCTGTGGATGATCTCAGTATTTAAGAGCTGTTGAATCCATGGCAACTATTAATTAATTGGCTTTTCTAGGGGCATTGCACATACTCTTATGCGGTACACTGATGCTCGGTCGTCAGGTGTTCACAAGTAAAAGAAAGATGAGGATATCTTGTTTAATTTTCCTTTAAAGGAAAGGTACTGTGTGGATTTAAAATCCATAAAGTCAGCAGTTTGAAACCACCAGCTGCTCTATGGCTGAAAGATAAGGCTTTCTGCTCCCATGAAGATACACCCACAGGGCAGCTGGTCTCTGCCCTGTAGGGTCACTGTGAGTCAGAATTGACTCAATAACAATAATTTCTGTGTCAAATCAAAATATGTTGCTATGGTTGCTGTTATTGCTAGGTGCCATTGATTGGATTGTGACCCATAGCAACCCCTACTGTGGAAACTCAGCTGAAACATATTCATTCTAAGTGACCCTCCTGCCATTTGAAATACCAGTGACAGAACTGCCAGCACCAACGCCACCACAGTCCCACAGCATGACAAGCGCTCCGACGACAAGTGGGGAATACAACTCAGCACGGAATGGAGTTCGATCAAGTGTCCTAATGAGCCTGTTGATTGTCCTCGCCTCTGTCTCATTCTCCCGTAACTACTTCTTCCATTCCCGCAGCCTGTCCCTTCCCGTCTTTCTCGCTCTATTTCTATTTCAGCTGATATTTCTACCACTTCGAGGGGCAAGGTGGCAAGACACAGGTGGCAATACATTTTCATGAATTGATTTTCAACCAGATAAATAGCCCTCAGAAAGAACTAAGCCAGATAGGAGGCTGGACCTGTTAGAACGACACACTGGCAGTATTTGACTCTCTCTGGACAGCCACAGTGACTAGAAAATCCTTGGGGATCAACCTGATGGGAGAGGACGAGGAAAAAAGGGGCAGTGACGCTGATTTGAATCAAGCACTGCGCAAGATGCTTTCAGTAATCCCTGTGAAATTCACCAACAGCTCTTTGAATTGGGCTTAGTGTCCCCTTCTCAAAACAGAGACAATTCTCAGTTAACCCATCAGGAAAACAGGCAGCAAAGGAACCCGGACTCAAATGCAGAGAACTCGGTCTCTGGAGCTGGTGCCCAAACTCAACGTTGGGCTGCCTTCCTGGTCGCGGAGTTGACAAGGAAGAAAAATAAGCCATCTTTAAGTTGGGGTCTTCAGAGGATCCCACTGTGACTCGACTTCTGGGTTGGGTTGGAGCAGGATTCCGCGGATCTAAGGAACACAGAAAGTTCTAGTATCTGTTCCATGACTACAGGGACCTCATATGGGACCTGGTCACAAAGCCCTTTTCCACACGAGTAGGAGGGTGAGGGAAGGAGGGAAAAAGAGGAGCTGAGACCAAGGACTCAAGTAGAAAGTAAATGTTTTGAAAATGATAATGGCAACGTATGTACAAATATGCTTGATATAATTGATGTACGGATTGTTATAAGAGCTGTAGGAGCCCCCAATAAAAGATCTGTTAAAAAAAAAAAAAAAAAAAAAGCCCTTTTCCTCCCCCAGTTTCAGGTACCTCAGAATTCCCGTCAGAGAGCAGACCCTTGTCCTTGGTCCTGCGTCCTCACAACCACGAGGATAAATACGGCGCTTCCTAGTCAGGGCGACTTCGCCCCCTTGTGCTGTGCTGAATGTACTGGAGAGTGAGTCATGTTCTTGTTTACCTGGCAGTTCTGGACACGTTTAGTAAACGTGTGCACGTATTCAAAGACTTTCCATAGAAACACATTGAAATCTTATTCTTAGAATGTTGTCACTCCATTAACCAGAACGTAGAATTTCATCTGGCAGCACCACCTCGAGCCATTCTGCATAAGATCATTATCATAAAATCCAGAACTGTGCTATGATTTATGTCTATATCGCATAGACTTAGGAAAAAAACTGCCTTCTCAGAAATTTTAGCATATGAAAAGTTTACTAAACCTTTTTTCCTTCACATGACGCGTGTGTCAGAGAGAATCAGACACCAATTTAAGTTTCATCCATTGGGTAGGAGCACAAAAGGAGAAATTCTTGATCCAAGTAGCAGAGAACCTTGATAAAGGATAGCTGACAAAAGTAACTCAGTTATGCAGTTCGCAAATCCCTCTTCCAAGATAGTCTCTTCCAAGGTTACAGTCGATTCCTAATCAAGCCTCCAGAGCTCAAAATGACGCCTGGACCCCCTTTAACCTCGGACAGCCTCAAGAGGCTGCGCACAAACCATGCTTGACTTGGCTTCTGGGAATTAAATGAAAACAAGCTGTCTTTCCCTCTTGCAGGTTCAAACCACCCTGAAGCGCCAGTGGGGCCAGTTTAAGATCCAGTGGCAGCAGCGTTGGGGAGGCTTTGGCTTCGGGCGCTCTGCTCCCAACCCTCGCCCCCGGCCTCCTCCTACAGGCCACATCGCTGTTTACATCTGCCGCGAGCGGCCGAGAAACAACGAGGAGGGGGGCCTCGCAAACATCTATGACGGTGCTGAGATGGTCTCCCTGAACCTCATCGAGCGAAGGTTGTCTGCTTAAATGGGAAGCCGCAACAGCATCGTGCTCCCTGAGCCTCACATCCTGGGTGACAGATAGGCCACGCATCTAACGAGATTCCCATCCTCCCAGGAGCAGAACATATCATTTGTGAAGAATTCAGTGAATTTATCCATAGTGAATCTGAGGAAAGTTATATTTGGTACTATTGCTTTGGGAGATAGTCTAGGAATGGAGTCTCCCACTGCAACACTTGTGAACTCCATCATTCATTCAGAACTGAGATATGACTATCATAGGAATGCAAGCAAAGTATCCAAGAAACACACAACTAAATTGACATAGTTCAGATACAGGGTGCTCTGTGTTAATCTTGAGCCATTTATACCTTTGAAAAATTCAAAATCACTGTCGATATTTTTCTCTAGACTTTTAATTAGAATATTTATGTATTTGGCTATGGATCTGCTTTTTAAAGTTTTCTTATTTCAATCATGTCTGATATTCCTCAGATGTTTTACCATCCACACTATGCCGACTGCACAAATGACAGCCTGGCCTCCACAGTCCAGTAGCTTTCTAAAATATGGATGGCTAAGGATGTAGGAGGAAAGACCTGTGCTCAGTAGGGAGATAGGATGCTTTGCGTAAAAAAAGAAATTTAAGTCTATTTGCTGGAAACCTTACATGGACCAATTTGTTAATTGGTTATTAGTACTGTAGACTCAGGTTGTTTGGGAGAATCCTGTCCATTGGGCAGGCCCTAACTGCTGTAAGGCATTGGCCTTCACCTTGAACGTGCTTTAGGAAGATGTTTACAAATCGGGAGGTCACAAAGAATTCATTGCTAAATTTTTCACAGAACTGCCAAAACTATAATTCCTAGTGGAAGAGAATACCCTTTTTAAAGACAGTTTTCCACTTTCCTAAGATCCAGGATTTATAAATCAAATCACGCCAAGGTTTATAAAGCAAATTACCTCTTGCCCCTGGGTGCTATCTAGCAGTACAAGATAAATTTGCTTATGTCTGATAATTAAAAGACTCCAAACAAGTGCATTAACTGCCTTCACCCACGACAAAACTTAACAAGATCTCAGTCTTTTCCAGGAAGACTCAGCAGGGCGAATTAGAATCAATTTGTAGCTGACCTCTTATTTGCTATTAGCGAAGCGGGGGGAAATATAAACACTACAAGTTTAACCATATAGCAATTCCTGTTCAAATAAAAGTAGTTTCTTGTTAAAGCCCAATATTATATTCCCATATCCCTCTTTCCTTCTTCAGCATAAGATCTTCAAAAATCCCTGACTAAAGCAGTATCATTATTGGCACCGTGAATTTGCAACAGTGATCAGTTACCATTCGTTAATTTGTATGCTAAATGAAAGACATTTAGACCCCCCAAATTTCAAGTCTCATGTATATTATCTTATGCCACTGCCTTTCAGAAATGATTAAGCTATGGAAAGACAATCAATTTATTTCTTCTGGTAACACTTTTAATGCACCCAAAGAAAATTATATTCCCCCAAAGAAAATGTATTTTGGATACAAAGAGAAGTTTATGTCTCCTTTGCTGAATGTAAGGGAGTTGAAAAGAAGGTATTTTTCCAATCACAGTGTTTATGTAGTGCTGTACCTATTTTTGTTTACATGGAAAACAGAGTATTTCTGGCAGCTCTAGTACAAATGGTATAATATATATTGCTAAAATATTATAGATCTATATTGCGCTTGTAGAAGTTCCAAGAGAACAAAATAGTTTATCAAATAATTGTGCATAATGCTAAAATTATATGAAATGCTTGTATTATGTATATGTAGAAAATTAATATAGAGTATGAGCAAAGCAACAGATGTATATTTGCCTATTTTTTAAAAAAAATACACTCATCATCTTTTTCATTCATTCACCTGTCTCCTGTTCATTTCACATCCTCATTCATTTCAACCAGGGTCAGCCAGCATCTCCTCTGACCGCAGGAGAGGTGAACACAATCGAAAGAAGCTGCGGGCAAAAAATAGCAAAGCTATTTTCTTTACAAGCATATTCATTTTTAGTCTGCAATTTGACTATAAATTCAGTGCCACCATCCCCATGCCCTTGATAAAGCAAAAGCTACACACAACTGTCCATTTATAGTGCCTGCGTTTGGAAAGCTCGGAAGAGAAATTAGGGCAAAAAAGTATCATAACTTTTTATTGTTCTTTTTACCCCATTATTTTTGGGTCCGACTTGAGCTGTCCAACATTTCCGTATCACACCAGAGTGTGGGAATTGTTCGATTCAATGGTTTGAATGTCATTTAGTAGAGAGACTAAGGTGGGATTAAAGGCAAGTCATTATCATTAGGATGTATAAAGGCCCCTACTGGAAATAATTTCAAATCTGTAAAACATGAAAAGGGGGGTGAGTGGGCGGGGAACGAAGATTCAATGAGTGTTGTGAGGATCTAGCAAAGCGGAACACACGCAGTGTGCAGGCTCCTCCCACTCCATGACATTGCAAAACTCAGGGCCTCACATGAGTTAGAGAGCTTTCTCAGATAAGATCTGTATGGACCGCATCTTCCCCTTCACATCCCCCAGGCCGGGACAAGGAGTTAGGATTAACCTTGTGGTCTGGAAGAACAAATGGACTTTCTCCTCGTATCATACAGTCAGATTTTCCAAGAGGGTAACTTGAATTCCGATGGTCAGCTGCCCACTTGCTTTGAGCTCGACTGAGGAGGGCTTTAAATATAGACCATTATTATAGTTCCTGAGCAAGACAATAGGCTCAAAAAGAGAGGTAGCCGAAAGGGTGTCATCACGGGGCTCCACCCTTCTCATTCATTCCTGTGGTCATCACTCATGTATTCAACTGGTATTTCATACACCTCGATTTCAGCCAAACACAAACGCTTGTTAAGTGCCATCGAGTCAGTGATGGTCCATAATGACCCCGCACTGCACTGTCCTGCGCCATCCTGAAGATTGTTCCTGGCCTGAGTCAATTGTTGTGATACTGAGTGTCAGTCAATCCATCTCGTTGAGGGGCTACTTCGTTTTCAATGCCGCTCTACCAAGCATGATGCCCTTCTGCAGGGCCTGGTCTCTCCTGACAATGTGTCCAAAGTGTGTAAGACAAAGTCTTGCATTCCTTGCCTCTAAGGAGTGCTCTGGCCATCATTCCAAGATGGATGTGTTTGTCTTTGACCAGCCTGTGGTACTTTCAATGCCCTTCTCAAGCACCACAGACACCTAGTCATGGTTATTCTCCAGGAAAAGCTTCTCTGCGGAGGTGACTGCTTCTTTTCTGATGCAGAAATGAAAATGTTTTAAAGGATTATACTTTTTTGAAATTTAAAAAGAACTATTACCTTAAAACCATAAACACTGAAATTTTATCAGCCTAAGAAAAGTGGCATTTTGTGGCCAACAGTGGAGGCTGAGGGTGATCTTCCTCCCTAGAGCATTTTCTGGCCAGGAGAGCTAAGATAACAAATCTCAGAATAAGACCAAAATACAAAGACTCACTTTCTTATCAATAAGAACTAAAATAGTAGCTCTTCCATGGACTGGATTAAAATTCAGCTCTTTGCCACAGACGGTTACACGTTCAGAGTTCAAAATAAGATTATTCCTAAAATGGAAGGGGAAGGAAGGAACCATAAAGGCAATCAGATAAACTCAGAAGAGAGCTCCATTTGTTATTTTGAAAAGGGAGGCAAGAAACCCCAGTCCTAAAGCAAGGAGTGTAAAATTGATCTTACAGAGCTAGTCCTGGTGGGAAATGGAGGTAGGAAAATGATAGGGAATGGCATCATTGTGGGTGCAGAGCCAAGGAAGGTAAAGAATCCCATTGGAAAATTAAGAACTAACACGATTTCTGCTTATTTTCTTTTCTTTAGTACATAGAAGTAACATTAATGCTTTGAATTTGAAGCATTTTAGTAGAGAAAATACAAACACTGAAACTCAACCTATCTTAGGTCAGACAGGTTTTTCTAATATCACATCTTCTCATTTGAATTCATAAGCATCTCTAGAAGATCTCAGAGAGTTTCCATTATCTGAAACATTGATCAGTATTACTCCTATGTCACTGATCAATGCATATTTTATAATTACAGAAAATCACTGCCATCTATCTAACTTTCCCAGAAGCTCTTTCACTGACACTAAATACTAAACATGCACCCTCCCTCTTACCTATTGACTGGCAATGCCACTGCTACCCCTGTAGTCCCTTTGTTTAACACACCTGATATTGTAATTTAAATACTTTGCTTCCAAATGCGTCTCAGTATGACTAGAGAAGCTTTGTAGTTAGCAACTCAGTGCTTAACCACTACACCAGGCTGGCTCCTTAGTACTGGAAAAGCTTTGAATGGATATTCAATAAAATTAGTTGAGATGTTTTTAATGACAAAAAAAACAACAACCCTGAAATCTGTCTCCATCCAAGCCTGATCGATCAAATCTAGTACATTGGTCTCCTATGCAGAGCCCTACACCTAAATAAAGGATAAGTTGCAAACTCCTAAAAAAACCAGTGCACAGCAGGTTGTATGGTTAATCTCAGGACAGAAAGCATTTTGCTAGATGAAAAGTCTCCCCCACTATAACTGTGTTATGCCAGGCGGACTAAAGAAGCAAATCCCGTGACATATATATGTGTAAGAGAGAGCTTTCTATCAAGAAGGAATTACATATTAAGTAAACATCTCATCCCAGTCCAGATCAAGTCCTAAGTCCCTGGGTTCCTCCTCAGACTCACACAGCCACATGCAACGATGCAGAATCCAGGAAGATCACAGGCCGGTGGTGCAAAGTCCTGTGGATCCAATGGTGGTGGCCATATCACAGGGCTCACAGCAACCAGGGTCAGCCAGCAGGAAGGTGAAGACAGAAACAGAGTAGGGAGGTTCCCAGGATCCTCCTTAGGAGAAGGCCACACTCACAAAGAGGCACCATCAGGCTGTGAACTGACTGACAGGTTGAACTCCATCCCTACAGTTTTATATATCTTCAAGTTGACTTGCAATTATGTAACT